CGATACTAGAAGATAGCTATTCAGTTCCCCCCAAGCCTCCTCTTTCCCAAGCTAACCATCCCCAGTTCCTTCAACGGATGATCACATGACATACCTTGCAGGCCCTTCAGCAGCCTGAGCTCCCTTTTTCTTGACCTGATGTGCAATGTCCCTCCTAAGATGGAGCCCACAGAACTGGATGGGGCTTTGGCTGCGATGTCATGCTGGTGACACATAGTGGATGTGCAGTCTGCTACAATTCCCAGAGTACTTTTATGGGTATGGTAGTTTAGGCACATCTGGCACAGAGCAGGTACTTAATAAACACTTGATTGATTGATTTCATCTATTAAATTTGTCTATTAAAATTTTATCTTATTCGATGATTCTACCATTGCCCAGCTATGTGTCAAATGCAAATTTGAGAAAAATGACATCTATAGCTTCATCTTAGTCACTATAAAAAAATATTGAGGGGCAGCTAGGTGGCGCAGTGGATAGAATGCTGGCCCTGGAGTCAGGAGGACTTGAGTTCAAATCTGACCTCAGACACATAACACTCACTAGCTGCGTGACTCTAGGCAAGTCACTTAACCCCAATTGCCTCATATAAAAAAAAAGAAAAAAGAAAAAATATTGAGCATTATTGGGCCAAGGACAGATCCCTGAAGTGATCCCACTAGAGATCTCTTTTCAAGTTGGCATCAACGTATCCATGGTTTCTGCTGGAACCTGATCACTCACCAGTTCCAAATCCACCCAGCTAGTCCTCCTATCTCCACCTGGTGCAGAAGGAGATTGTGAGAGTTTATCAAACCCTTCAGTGAAATCTAGCTACACTATATGAGCATTCTCCAGAATTACCCCTCTAGTAATCAGCCCCATCAAAAAAGGAACCGAGGTTAATCTGGCCTAACTAGTACTTGACAAATCATCCTGGCTCTTAGCTAACTCTGCTGCTCTTTCTCACAACCCATCCCTTTCATAATAAGTACATTTTAGAATTTTGCCAGGAATTTAAATCAAGTGCAGTGACCTGTAGCTGCAGTCTTTCCCTTTTTTTGAAAGTAGGAGCACGATCTTGCTCCAGTCCTCAGACATCCCCACTTCTTCCTAATCTTGCAAAGATCACTGATGGTACACTGATCAGCGTCTGGATCAGTAAGTCCTTTCAATACCCTGATGTGTAGTTTGAGCTCTTTAGGTGGCTCCCCAACCCCCTCTCCTGCCTTTTTTTCTTTCCCATTGGAATAAGTTCTGTTTATGTCTTCAGAATTTCATTCTTGAGAGCTTCCTTTCCACCTCTCCTGAATGAAGAACTTTAGAGGAACCATGGGATCCTCTCTGTCCTTTCTCTGAACCCTCTGAAATATGCTTTTGCAAAATGCAAGGTGTGCATGTTAGATAATGCTTGTCTTTCTCCTCCTTCTAGATCCCAAATTCTAACATGGAATGATCACTTACCCCCAAGGTCCTAATCATTTCTCCTTCTGCAGCCTTGTTGTTCAAAACCAGGTCTCTAACAGCAATCCCCCTTGCCGCTTCCTTAACCTTTGGAAGAATGAAATTATCATTAAGACAAATCAAGATGTCATTAGTTGTTCTATTTTCAGCAAGTAGAACTCCAAGAGATGTCTAGAACCCTGAATTCCCCATCCCTACTATATCATGCTTCTATAGCAAGAAAAGCAGCTGTAAGACTCTGCAAGGAACTCGGGATGAGAGCCTAGGGTAAACTTCTTGAGTAATCTTACAAAGAGGAGAATGGGTCTGCCAGCATGCGGGAGCTGGGAATTGCCCCTCTGCCACATGTGTTCTCTAAGCTGGAGCACATTTCCTCCTGGACTCTGTATATACTAATGGGAAAATCTATCATAGACTTGGGGGGGGATGCGTTTGTGCCAACTGTTCTTACTACTACTTTAGTAGACACCCCTTTCTAAAAACTAATTAAGTCTAGCTGACTAAGATCAGCTGATGATTAGGGGAAGCACACACTGGTGGGGGCTTGTAAAGAATAATAGCATTAGAAAAACAAACCCTCGACTCCTCAAGGATTACTCTTATGACCCTGAAAGGAGATATAATAGCCATGCTCTGAATTGCTAATTTGTGCCAGTGGGAGTTGAGATAATAACTCCAGAGTATGTAGATTTTAAGTTTCCCCCTTTTCCTCTATAATAGCTCACCTAGGTTTTGTTTAGCAGTTGGCAGATTCTGCCTAGCCCTACTGCAAATGGAATTCTCCACTTTCTTCTAAGAGTCTCAAGCAGAACTCTAGACAGCAAGGCTTTATGGAATGAGCCTATAAATTAAATCACTTCCTGGTGACTTTAGATATGACCATTTCCCTGGCTTCAAAACCCTCTTCCATCAAAGTAATCTTCCTAACACACAGATCTAATCTTATCACTCCCCTGTCCAAAGTCCCTCAGTGGCCCCCCATTGCCTACCAAATAAAATACAAACTTCTTAGTCTGACATTTAAGATTGCTGGTAAAAAGTCTCCCTCCAACCTAACCAGCTGACCTTTTTATCATAGTTTATCCCTAAAACACACTGCTAGCCTAAAGTAGTTTCCTCAGCTATAAAATGAGGAGGTCAGACTAGAACAGAGGTATCCACCAGTGGGCTTGAAACTGATTAAAATGTAATTGGGACAAAATTAACAAAATAAATAAAAATATGATAGAACATGAATAATGTTAATATGTGGTTTTCTAAGTGCCCCATTTCTGTTTGAGTTTGGACTATACAAACTATATACTTCTATAAAGTCCCTGCCAGCTTTAAATCTATGATCCAATTTAATCTGCTAATGGACCACATATGATCATTACAACTGAACTTCCTTGCCATATCTTTTGACTTGGTCTGAGTCAATGAGTCCACAAGCATTTATTAAGCACTTCCTGTGTACAGCATGATGCTAAGCACTGGAGATACAAAGGCAGTAACAGTCCTTGCTCTCAAGGAGCTCACTTTCTATTGAAGGAGACTTGTAATAGATACATACCTGGCATACTCAGAGTAGATGGATGGGCATCTTGGATGCTAAGGCCTCCTGAAGGTGAGACTTAAGCGGAATCTTGAAGGAAGCCAGGGAATCTGGGGGGGGGCATTCTGGGTTTGGGGGACACTCATTCCAAAGGCATAAACACAAGAAATGTAGATGGGTGTGCAACAACAAGAAGTTTCTTTAAAAAAAAGAAGTTGTGTAGCAACTTGATGGTTGACTGAAAACAATGCCAAGTCTCTACATTCTAGCCCGGAAGATGGGCCTTAATAGGGCCAAACAGATCTACCAACACAGCAGTGAACCTGATCTGTCCCGCCAGGACATCAAGCCCGATAGCTGGCCAAGCATGATGCCCACAGATGACAAAATGGGTGTTATCAAGATCCTCCTTTTCCTGCCCACCCTAGTCAAATTAAGGGCAAAACCAGACAATTCTTGGCCTAGAGAAGTTAAGACTTAAGAGGATGTTATCTCCATCCAAGTATTTGAAGGATAATCACAGGGGAGATTACATATTCTTTACTCAGCCAGGCAAAACTAAGCCTATGTTGTGAAGATACAAATTTAGACTTGATATAAGGGGAAATTTTCCAGTAATTAGTTATCCAAAATAAAATAGGCAGTCTCAAAAGATAGTGGGTTCCTCTTCGATGGAAAGGCTCTGACCTTGGGATCTAGAGACTAGAACCATTGATATTAACTAGAAGATACATGAATAATTTAGGTGTGTGGTAATAAAAGGTTGGACTACAGTGAGAATGAAGACACATGCAGGGAAAAAACACCAAAAAACTGAAATAATAGCACATTTATAGAGTCCTTTGTTCTCATCTCTGAGATATCATCATCCCTGTTTTGCAGATGAAGAAATTGAGACTGGGAAGAGTTAAATGACAAACCCAAGGTTACCCGTGTGTTTGAAGTGGGACACCCCTTCCAGGGTTCTTTCCAATGCTTCTCAGGAAGGAATTGGACTCAATATGTTGTACATGAGGAATAGTTCTCAGGTAACATACTGGGGGCTGGGAGACCAGTCCCAAAAACAAAAACAGAGATGACAGGAAGAGAGCCAGCCTTGAGGGAAAGATGACCAGTCATCGTTGAATTGGGGGTGACCATCGAACATCCTGTCAGAGATGCCTGGTCGCACTTGGGAGATACAGGACTGGACGCGTTAGAGACCAAGGTTCCGTGTACCACAAACCCAGATTTCCAGAATTAAAAGACAGTTCAAAAAAGCCCTTTACAAGGAAGGGAGATCATTTCGTTATTTTCATTTTCACTTTCAGCCGTGCCTATGAAATGTACAGATATTCTGGCTTTAGAAGGTCCCCGTCCTGGATAAATCTGGCCTAGGGTTTCACTAAGACAGTGGGGAGAGGTGGGAGGTGGAGGAGGGGAGAGGGGGAAGGTGGGGGAGGGGAGAGGTGGGGGAGGAGAGACGGGGAAGGTGGGGGAGGGGGGAGGGGGGAGGCGGGGGGGGGCAGAGAAGGGGGGCTCATCGGCCCCCAAGGTCCCTTCCCTCTCTAAGCCGACAGTGCCAGGCAAGATGACAGGTGGAGGACCGGACTTTGGCCTCCCACCTCTGACTAACGGTTGCTTGACCCTGGCCGCGTCACTTCCTCCCTCTGGGCCTCAGTTTCCCCACGTGTCAAATGGGAGGGGAGCTGGGTCCAGAGGGCCTTCCAGCTCGGAATCGATGAGCCTGTGGGCCTGTGTCTAAGAAGCCACTCCCCCTCCCTGAGCCTCAGTTTCCCCCCTCTGTCAAATGAGGGGTGGCGCACTAATGACGTCGGACCTTCTCCATCTCGCGGCTGAAGGCGAGGGCACGGGAAGGTTGGGGGATGGGGGACCCGCAGACAGTTAAACCGCCACCGCCGCCGCCGCCGCCACCGCGCGCGCTCGCCGAGAATCTGCGGCTGCGCGGCGAGCGCACGCCGCCTGCCCCGCCTCCATCCCCATGGAAACGGAGGGGTAGCGAATCCCAGAGGAGCTTCTCGGCCACGCCCCCCCACCCCTGAGGATCCCGGCGTCCTGGCAACGGCGGCGCCTGCGGGCTGGGGCCAAGGCCGGGCGGCCGGAGATGCCTTGCCGCGCAGGGCCGGCGCCATGCTCAAGGCTAAGATCCTGTTCGTGGGGCCTTGTGAGGTGGGCGCGGCGGCGGGGAGGGGAGAGGGGGCGGCCTCCCTGAGCCTCAGTGTCCTCCCTTGGGAAACTGGGGGGGGGGGGAGCCCGGCTTGGCTCCCTCCGTCCCACCTGGGGGCAGCTCCGCCGGGTTAGGTTAAGAGGGAGGGTCTGGAAGGAGGCTCCTGGGCCAGGGGTGGGGGCCGCACCCCTCCTTGGACAGATTGGGAACCTGAGGCCCGGGGAGGGGGGGGAAGTGACCTAGGCTCACAGAATCCATGTAATCCAGCCCCCTCGTTTGACGAACGCGGAAACTGAGGCTTAGAAAGGGCAAGGAGCTCGCAGAGACAGTGCAGTGGTAGGTTTGGAGCTGAGAGAGACCCCAGACATCATCCAGCCCAGCCAGCTCATTTCAGGTCGGTCAGTCAACAGGCATTTATTAAATACTTCCTCTGGTCGGCTCTGCGCCGAGGACTGAGAATACAAAGAAAGGCAAAAACGGCCCACGCCCCCAGGGAGTTTACATTCTATTGGGGTATATGGGAGAAACTGAGGCCCAGGGAAGAAGGATCGTAGCATCAAAGACAGATAGCTGGAAGAGCCCTTAGAACAAGGATGCTTAACCTGGGGCATAAATTTTTTTTGAAAAAGTGTTTCAATAGAATTAGTTTCCTTTGTAATCTTATTTTTTTTTATAAATTTGAAAACATTCTAAGACAGTTCCATTTTTGACTTCCAAAGCGGTCCGAGATGCAAAAAAAAAAAAAAAAGAATCCCTGCCTTAGACGATCAGCCTCTCATTTTGCAGATGAGGAAAGTGGGGGCCAAGGAGATGAAGTCATTTGATAAAAATCATAGGATTACAGATCTCAGGCCAGAAAGACCCTTAGAGGTCATCTAGGCTCACCCCTTTATATGATAAATGAGGAAACAGACCCAGAGGTGAAAAAAATGCCTTGCCCAAAGTCACACAAGTAAAACAGAACACAGCTAAGACCCAGTCATGTGCTGTGACCCCAGTTTCCATTGCATCATGGAATCTGATGTCCTTTCCCCTGCCTCTCTGGCCTTTATTTTATAAAGGGACAGACATTAACTTTGCCCAGGTCACACAGGTAATGAATACCAGAATCAAGATCTCATGACCAGAGCCTCAGATTTTCCTACTGAAGGGCACTGATCCTGGGAGTTGGGAGGAAGTTTAGGGAAACATGCAGTTGTGGGATCGTGGATGGAACCTCAGAAGCCAGCCACTGCAATCATTTTATTGTTGAGGAAACTGAGGCCAAGTGGAATGACTTGGCTGGTTGCAACGGGGATTTCTTTTGGAGAATGTGTTGGACTAGATGTCAGTTAAGGGCCCTTCCAGTTCCCCAATCCTGTGATTCTGTGAACCCAATCTTTAATGAACAAAATCCAAATGCTGTCACTTTGCACAGAGCGGCAAAACGGTCCTGGCCAACTTTTTGACAGAGTCCTCAGACATCACCGAGTACAACCCAACCCAAGGTGTGAGGTGAGTACTGAGCCCTGACTGCTCTGTGTTCTGAAGACTCTGAGGCAAGCACCGGACCCATCACCTCTCCCAAACACATTTGTGTTTTTAGGATCCTGGAATTTGAGAACCCCCAAGTAGCTAGCAACAACAAAGGGACAGGGTGTGAGTTTGAGCTGTGGGATTGTGGAGGAGACACAAAGTAAGTGTTTTTCAGTTTTCTTCCGGGGGGGGGAGAGTGTGTGTGTGTTCCATTCACGTCTGACTCTTTGTGATGAATTTTGAGGTTTTCTTGGCAAAGATGCTGGAGTGTTCTCTAGCTCATTTTACAGATGAGCCAACCAGAGTTAAGTGACTTACCCAGGGTCATACCACTAGAAAGTGTCTCAGGCTGAATTTAAACTCATGAAGATGGGTCTTCCTGATTCCAAGTCCAGTGTTCTATCCACTGTGCCACCTAGCAGCCCTTGTGTATGTTGTGTGTTTACATGGATGCTCATAAAAATGGCCTTCTGTAAATGCGGTCTGTGTTCTTAAGTCTGTAAATATCTCTTCTTGGCCATTATGGGCCAAGAGCAAGCATATTCATCACTATACACACAAGACTTAGAAGAATCACCCCCACCTGACAGGGCTCTTTTCCCTCCCTGGAGGTTTGAATCATGCTGGCCCGCCCTCATGAAGGACTCTCACGGAGTGGTGATCATCTTCAATGCCAATATCCCCAGCCACCTGAAGGAGATTGAAATGTGGCATTCTTGCTTCGTGCAGCAGCAGCTGTTACAAGACAGCCAGTGTCTCTTAATTGCGCACCACAAGCCAGGCTCTGGAGGGGACAAGGGCAACTTGTCTTTGGGTGAGGAGGACAAAAATGCTCATTTTAAATAGATTTTTAGTTCTTTTTGCATATTTTCTCAGTAGCCCCTTATTTTTTTTTTCAGTGCTTCTCACATGTTAAGTGCTTGAATGTTTGTCAGACTGATCTGGATCTTTGCTTACAGTCTTCTTCACTGACCATGGCTCCTTGGTTGTCTCTTTAAAAACCTGTCATTGCAACATAATCGACATAATACCTACCATAACATTTAAAGACCACCTCATCCAACCTAATTATATAGATGGGAAGACTGAGGCCCAGAGAGACTAACATCATCTTGATAGTCATCCTGATAGAGAATCCCAAAGTACAAAAAAAAAAATTGACACCATCCTCCTAGATGCTGATTGAGTACTCCCTGTATGTAGGGAATTTTATGCAAGGTACTGTCTTGTTATGCATGCCTAGGGTGTTAATTTACTTGAAGAACTGGACATATGACAAACAGGTAGAGAGCAACAGAGATAAAAGGTGAGTGATGGGACCTGAGATTTCACTGGATGAGGGAAATCCATGTCAGCAAACTCTCAGCGTTGCCTAGAGCTGGCCCAGGGTTACACAGCTTGCATATCTAAGAGGCCAGACAGGAGCTCCCATCTTCCTGGTGCTCCTCGCTGAAACACACTGCCTAACAGATAAAAAGAAAAAAAAAGGAACCTTAAGATGAAGAACATTTAATTACTGTACTAATGTTATAACTTTAGGTATGGTAGTTGAAATTGGTCCTGTTTCCTGAACTAGACAACGAAAATATCTCCTCAGTTCCATTCTGGCTCCAAAGTTTTCTTTTTTCATGATTTTTCTAGTACATTTAATGAGCTTTTATTCAGTGGTTGAAGATAAGTAATAGCATTCGGCATCTCCTTTTAATCTATCATCACTGTGGCAAAGTCAGCTAGGCTAATTAACATTTTTTAAAAGCTTATTTAAAAAGTAATTTATCTCAAGAAAAAACCCCGGTCAGCCATGTGACTTATGTATTACTGAGGTGGTCCTGTATAATCAACATTTGGAAAATTTCCATAATTGCTTTTATCTATTGCTCCTTGGACAGCTAGGTGGTAAAGTGAATAAAAGAACTGGGCTTGAAATCAGGAAAACTCATCTTCATAAGTTCAGATTCAGCTTTAGACACTGCCTAGCTGTGTGACCTTGGGCAAGTCACTTAACCCTGCTTGCCTCAGTTTCTTCATTTGTAAAATGAACTGGAGAAGTAAATGGCAAACTACTTCACATCTCTGCCAAGAAAACCCCAAGAGGGGCCACGAAGAGTCAGACGTGACTGAAAAATGACTGAACAACAAAAATTGCTCATTGTAAATGCCTGAGTCATTTAATCAAAGTAAACTGAAAATCAGTCTATAGACATTTATTATGATATTTCCTGTGTGCCAGGCACAAAATATGTGTTAAGGGATTTTGGTTTATATCCTGCATCAAAGGGAATGGGATCTGTAGTTGGTAAGGTCTTCCTTACCACCCAGTAGTGGGCTGGAGGTGGGGTTGTGAAGCCCATGGTGCTCCTAAACAGACTTAAAATACCATCCTGTTTTGGAACATTAGGAAATGCCAGAGTGGTTCTTTATGAGCCGCATATGGCACTAAGAGCTTCCCTCGGGTCCTGTCTCTCCTCACCCCCACCCCACCCGCTCAGTGGTTTTCCTCCTCCAAAGCTGGCCCCATGCTGCTCCAGTGTCCTCCTCACTGTCACTGTCAGCATGAACATAAACTGCCCTGCTTGGCTTCTGAAGCCCCTCACGACCAGGCCCAGCCTCAGCTTCCAGCCTGATTTTGCTTGGCTCCCCTTCCTGCACCATGTGGGGTGCTCTGTCTCCCGTCGCTGGGCCTCATCCCTCCTCTCCGGGGTTCCCTTGGACACAGCCCACATCCCCCCACCCTCCTCCCACCTTGTGTTTATGGGGATCAGGCTCTTCATAGTCTGTGTGCGCTTAGATGTGTCAGAGTGGGGGCTTTGACTCTGGGTGCCGAGCACCCCGCACAGTGCCTGGTACATAGTAGGTGCTTTAATGCATGAGTGATTGCTTCTGTTCCTATTTTCAGAAATTGCTCCGAAACTCTGCATAATGATACCTTCCTGTTTCACTCTGTAGCCGCACCTCTGAACAAACTGAAATTGGTACACTCCAATCTGGAGGAGGAACCGGAGGAGATCCGGATGGAGTTCATCAAGTACCTGAAAAGTATAGTGAGCTCGGTGTCTGAGAGCAGAGATAGGGAAGAGATGTCCATCATCACCTAAGTGACGCCATTCATTGTTCACACACGCGAGTCTTTTTACAATTTTGAAGTCCTTGCCTTCGTCTCGGGCACTTCTGAAGTCGCCCTCTTGCCCAGATCACGTCTGAAATGTCTTTGAGGGCAACGACCCTTTTTTTTTTTTTGGCGATCAAACGAGGTCAGCCAAGATGCTGTGCCTGCTCCACTAGAGGGAGGGCCCTGCTGGCCAGCGATTCTCTGGATACCAACTGTGCTGTTTGGTTTCAACGACCCTGTTGGTGAATTCACCTGCTTCCAATATGGTCAGAGACCTGTACAGTCAGGCTCAGTTTTGTTTGTTTCTTCTGAAAATGCTATTGCTATTGCCCAGTGATCAATCTGTCCCTCAATGGTTATTGTTGATACATAATAATCAAATGTGTTGTCTTCTGAATAGTAAGTGTAATGGAATGTTTATTTTTATGTGGAATTCTGTAATGTTAGGAAAATGATGCTAAACTGATTGGGGGCTTAAAGGCCAGTTTATATAAATAGACTTTCATAAACATCAGGGCATTTTCATCCACATCAAACTTGTACATTCAGATGAAAGCTATGTTATGTTTTCATGTTACCCAATGTGTAAAAAATGCTAAAGAATTCATATTCAGAGGTTATAAAGGCATGTGGCTTTCAATTCATTGGATAAGTAAGTTCATTTTCATGTTTTTTGAGATGGATTTTCATTTTTTCCCTACTTCCTTTATAATCATCTTAATTTTTGTCATATGTAACCAGTCAGAAATAAACATTCAGTACCTATAGCTTGAAACTGTAACTCAACTCACTGTGTATGTGTATGTATATATACACACATATAAATATATACAGATAAACACGGACACATGAACCTTTATATACCTCTTATACATGCATTTTGAAGTGAAAATAGAAAAGAGGAATGACTTTACCTCTCAGCCTCAGTTTCCTTGTCAGTAAAATGAGGATCATAGTAACACCTATGTCATAGGGTGTTTGTGAAGCTCAAATGAGAATATATATAAAGCACTTTGCAAAACTTAAAAGCGTCACATGAATGTTAGTTGTTACTGTTAAATGTGAAGTCAGCCAATCAGATATTAAGTACCTTCTATGTGCCAGGCATATGCCTTAAAATGCGGTTGAGATGGAGATGTGGGAAGTCATATCTCTGTCACCAGCTGTATCATGAGCTGCCTCCTCGCTTTCAGACCCACATTCTGTCTCTCTGACAACCACCACCACCTCCTCCGATTCTACATGTCCTCCCTCTCCCCAGCTTGTCCCTGTGTCATCCCTGGCTGCTTATCTTTGGTTTTTCTATATCTCCTATGTACACACAGCTGCCGTGGTCCATTGCTTATTGCTTTGTGACATCTCCTGTAACTTCTCCTTTCTTTTTATTCCCTCTGCCACCCCTGAGTTCAAGCCCTCATTGTCCCTGTATTCATTTATTCAAAAGCCATTTTTGAGTGTCTACTCTGAATACCCTCAACCCCAAAGATAAAATAAGGCATATGGTCCCCTTCCTCGTGGAACTTGACTATTGAAGTAATTTCCTCTCTGGCTCAGATTATAATGTCAGACCATAAGCTCCTGCTTCCAGCTCAGTTTTTCTGAAGCCTGCAGGGCTCTTTGTAACCCTTCTGTTTAAAAGCTGTTAGTATGTCCACATTTTCTACTCCTTAAAGTCCAAACTTCTTTACTTGGAATTCAGGGGGCTCTGAAATTTGGGCCTGATGTTCTTTTCTAGCTTGCTTCCCACTACACTCCTTCACACACCCTATAAACCGAAGCCCTTTCCTGTCTCCACACCTTTGCCCAGAATTTTGCTGTTTAGAATGCCCTTACCGTAAATCTCCACTGTCTCATATACTCTTCATGGCCCAGCTCAACTGCCTCCACCTTCATGCAACCTTCCACGTGTGGCAGGTGAGATGAAATGACTAAGGAAACAGGTTTAAGCTTCTGAGCATTTCGATTTATTGAACAATGTGTGCCAATCACCCAAGAAATCGGGACCAGTAGCCTTTCTTAGCTTAGGGCTAGACCCCAAATACTGGGGAGACAAATTTTTAAACATTAAAAACAAGACCGACTCATTAAAAGGAAACAATACAACATTAGGTAATCTGATTTGAACTGGAGGAAAGATTGAGGACTTCCAAATTGGGAGGGGGAGAGCAAACAGGTACAATTCCCTGAAATAAGAAACAGAGGTAATAATAAAAAAAAGAAACAGAGATGTCCCGCTCCTCCCAAGTGTCTGTAAACAATCAAAAGAACATGGAAACAATGACTGGTGAGCACGGGACCAGTTTTCAGATAAACACACGTGGGCTGCTTGAGATGTACAATTGTGAGAAAACTCCTTGCATCAGTCTTTGGATCTGACTGGGTTTCTGGTCAGCATCACACACACTTAAGGGTCTCTAAGCGATAAGTGGAGGTGGTCCAGTTTCTCAGCCATCCAGGGCTAGGTTCAAACAATGCATTTTCTCCTGATTTCCACAATTGACTAAAGTTTTCTCACAAGACAGAAATCCGACTAAACCCTTAATGGAGTCACAAGATGAAGTCGGTGTGATTCACTCAATTCTCACAGTACTCGCTCTCCTAATCCCCTTTAATTCCCTAAAAATGAATGGGCCTTAGGATCCTAGATCTCAAGCGGGATGGGAGCTTAGGGTCCACCCACTCCAGATGTTACAGGTGAGGGAATGGGCCCAAGGATGTTCAGTAACGTACCCAGATCACAGGGGTAACGGCCGAAGCAGGATTTGAAGTTTGGTCGGGAGCATGGTGCTCTTTCCCTGGGTCCTGCGCTTGCATCTCATGGCATGCCTACCTCCCATCTTCAATAACAGCTATTTGTGTCATATCGTAACTTCTCTCCTAGATAGGGAAATACTGTGAAGGCAGGGACTGTGTTTATTTGGCTTTCCTTCCCCTGAAGTGCTTTATACATGGCAGGCATTTCAAGTATTTGTTGAATGAAATCTCAGATCCCATTTTTTCTGAAGATTGTGGCCTTCATACGTCAGTCATTGCATTGTTTAAATTAGATATGATGAGTCCAGCCAGCCCTTAATTGTGCACACGTGGTAAGCTGTTTGTCCCCCTACCACCCGACACATTTGGGCTTACTTGTTGGGATGTATTCAGGATGTTTCTGCCTAAGCCTGAGCACCCACCGTAATTCCCACCACATGGTAGGCCCTTAATAGATGCCTATTGCTCGATTGCTTGCTAGATTAAACAATACAATTAAGAAGGTAAGCTTGTGGTTACTCCTCACAGCCTCCCTCCCACCAAAAAAAAAAGATGTGCTTTTTGGAATGAAGGAATAGAGTGGGGGTGGGGGAGCATATATTAAGTGCTTACTTCGTGAGCCCTGCACTAAGTGCTGGAGATACACATAGAAAAGGCAGACAGTCCCTCTCTAAAGGGGTTCACACTCTAATGGGGGAGACAGTACCTAGAGGAGGTTTCAGCTGCCAGTCAGATGGAAAGGTCCTTAGAGGCCAGCAGCAAAGCAGAGAGTCAGACCTCAGATAGAATCCCATCCGTTTCTGATGTAGAACCACTTCAGTGCCAAGGACTTTGGCAGCAAGAACTTTCCTTTTGGGGTCTTCGGTAGCTGTGGCCGAGGCAGCTGTAGGAGTCATTGCCAGGCTGCATCTCCATTGGAGCTGCCTCCTGGGATGCTGGCTGAGGGTACTGGGCTGGAAGTCCTGGCCTCAGCGTCCTGGGATGGCTCCACTGAGGTCTGAGGGGGGCTAATGGTCAAGATGAGTGGTTGAACTTGCCTGGCACTGCCTCCTGTCTGCCCCCACGCCAGGGTGCGTGGCAGGCTGCTTCAGCTAGACCGGCTTGCCTGCCCCGTATATCCCAGTTGATGGGGATGGCTGATTCTCCATGGGAGTTGCTTCCTCAGATAGTGGATATCAGGGTGAGGCTAGAAGGAGGACCAGTAACCTGGCATGGGCTGCCACGCCCAGAATCCCCATGCTTTTCTGCTGTTGGTGGCAGTTCGACATCAGCTGCTGCTGGTGGGGAAAATGAGCCCCTTCTCCACAAGATTTCTCTTCTCAGTAATGGGCCTGGGCTGGAAGCAGGAGATCTGATGGTTTGGAGGGCACTGTTTTTCCCAAGGCTCTTGGGATCAGAGTCCTGGGCTATCCCCATCAGGGTCTAAGAGGAGATGGTGGTCAAGGTGGTCGATAGCATTGTCTTTGTCACTATTTAAATAACTCACTGGACCAAAAAATTAAGAGAAACCCATTTCACAAATTGAGCAGATCAGTTCTTCCTCTGTAAATCAGCTTACGGTTGAAATATAATTCAGAGGATTTTCATCCATTTGTAACTAGCCATTTTCTTTTCCATCACAATCCCTGAATTTTCTTGGCTACCCGAGATTTCTCATGATTGGTCGATTGAGCTGTCACTTCAAACACTTTCATGACACAACAATATGGTGAAAAAATTACTATTTCTGAGTACCATAAGTACAGCCAGCACTGTGGAATCACAGAGGAAAATCTTATCCATGGTTCGAAGACTTACGGTCGAGTTAATCAACTATGACAGTTATTTAAGGGACAGGGATAGAGAATGGAAGAAGGTGGCCCAAAAGAGGGACGTTCTGCCTCCAAGGATTGGGCATCTGAGCTGAGACAGAGCACGAGGGTGCAACAACCATCCCAGCAGCTTCCATAGCGCTCACGGGGCTTCCCAGGCTACAGGATGAGGGCAGTTCAGAGGACAGCAGGAGCAGTGAGACAGCAGAGCTCGCTAGAATTCCACTGAAATGGCCCGGCATTGATACTTTTAGCATTGTATACATACGACAAAAATGTGAGAATACTTACAAAGAAAGACATACGTACAAATTACGGAATAGATTGAATACATTAGTGCTGAGTCTACTGCTCAGTCATTTCAGTCATGTCCAACCCTTTATGACCCCATTTGGGCTTTTCTTGGCAGAAATACTGGAGCAGTTTGTCATTTCCTTCTCCAGCTCATTTGACAGATGAGGAAACTGAGGCAAGCAGGGTGAAGTTGCCTGCCCAGATGAGGAAGCTCCAGCCCAGAGAAAGGAAAGGATTTGCCCACAGTCACGCAGATCATTAGCATGAGAGGCAGCAACTGAGCCAGGCCTCCCGTATCCAAGGCCTGTCCATTCCACCATCCTCAACTGTGTTCCCTCCAGAGAAGAAGGCTATGTGATTTCTTCCAGCACTCATTCCTTCCTCTTCCTATTGGCCATCTTGGATGTTTATAAGCTTAGAAAGTGTTTATCTTACAACGTTTAATAAAAGCACATCTGCCCCTGCTATAGGTCCGCTTTCGTGGTTATTTAAGAATAAACTAAGTCAAGTCTTTTCATGCTTGCAGAAATGAAGAAATGGCTATTTCAAAATGATTAATTCTCATATGTGTAGGAGATGTCAACATCATCATAGTCTGAGATAGCCTCAATATAACTAGGAACAGAAACTGTCTTTTTCATTACAGTTGAATAAGGTTGTTGGCTTTCATTTTCCTGGGGAGCTGTAAAGCAGAAAAAAAAATACCCTTAGTAGTTATATCTGATGTCCAAATACATCTTCCTGACTGAATTAAGAGTTATGTGAACTAGAGTTTATTTCAGTGATTTTTACTCTTCTAGTGAACTAGATCAATATTTTGAACCCCAGTTTACAAGTCAAATTTAATCACATATGTATAACATATATGTGTATGCATACACATGTAGGTATCCATGTATATGTGTATACACACACACACACACACACACACACACACATATACACACTGAGAGTCTTCCAGGGAGTCAATGGCAAAGATACTTTCAGATACCATGGCTCATCATTTTCTAAGTTAGATCAAGTTGCCCTGGACCTCAGGATAAAGGTGAAATCAAGCTTTCATCTTGACTCCCTAGAACATAAGTTGACTAGATCTCATTGCCAAATGTGGGCAGTTGGGCTAACTTGATAAATCATCCAATGCCAGCATTGTGCCCTGAACAGAACAGATGCTTGATAAGGGTTTATTTAATTAAACCGAATCCTGGTTTTCATAAGAAAATTGGAGCAGCCCCATTTATTCTTTTTACATCCATCAAGATTTGCCAACCCTGTTGTTTTGGACTTTCCTTTATTAGATTAAAAACTTGGGCTGAAAAGAAAGGGTTGGGGGTGGGGAGGGAATGAGAGGGAGAACATGGCAGCCTTCCTTGAGAGAAAGAGAACTAGCAGACAGGGAGTTGGAAGGTGTAAACTACAGACTTTGGAATCCACTGTTTGATTCCATTTCTGGACGGTGTGTAACTGAATCATCATCATAGCTAACATTTATATAGCACTTGCTACGTGCCAGACACTATGCTAAGCATTTTATAACTATTACCTCATTTGATCCTTCCAATGACCCTGGGAGGTAGCTGCTGTTATGTCCCCATTTACAGATGCAGAAACTGAGGCAAGCAAGGGTTAAATGACTTGCCCAGGATCACAACTAGGAAATGTCTGAGACTGGATTTGAACTCAGGTCGGTACTGACTCCAAGTCTATCACTTTAGCCAGTGGGCCACCTAACTGCCCCCAGAGAAAGGACTCCTGCAGAAGGTGGGATTTGAAATGAGTCGTAGAGGGAGCCAGGGTAACTAATAGGTGATGGTGAGAAAGGATTGGGGAGAGACTGGAATCAGGGAGAACAGTCAGAAAGCTACTTCACTAGTCCAGGTGTGAGGTGGAAGAGCCTGTACCCAGGGTGGTGCTTGTATGAGGGGAGAGAAGGGAGCATGTACAGGAGATACCAAGAAGGTTAAAGACATGGCAGCAGTCGGCTATGTCGGGTGAGTGTGAGTGAGGAGTCAGGGATGATCGCTGGGCTGTGAGCTTCAGTGACAAGGAGGCTGGCAGGGACCTTGACAGTAACAGGGAGGTCAGGGAGAAGGAAAGGTTTGGTAGTGGGAGAGGGTAGGGGAACAATGAGTTCTGTTTTGGGCATTTTAAGTGTGAGATGCCTTTGGGACATCCGGTTCTAGATGTCCAAGAGCCAGTGATGTATGACCGTAGTTCAGGAGAAAGGTTAGGGCCGCACATATAGATCTGGTAATCATTGCACCCATGAGATAAGGCCAAGCAGGGTGATCTAGAGGGAGATGAGCAGAGCAGGGGTGGACTGCCACAGTTAGTGGGGACAATGCGGAAAAGGACAGAGTCATGATCTGAAGAGGAGAATCAGGAGAGATCAGGGTCACAAATGCTCAGAGGAAAGGGAACACCTAGGATCTTCTCCTCGCTTTCTGTAGCTTCTCAGCTGGAGAGAAGCTGAAGTCCCACTTTCTGCCTGAAGCCTTCCCTAATCTCCTTAACCGAAGGCCTGCTCTCTGAGCCTGTGTCTTCTTTGTACATAGTAATTTGCATGGTGTCTCCCCAATTAAATCCTCACGTCCATCCAATTCACCTGCTTGTCATGGCATCACCTCCCTGACACCATGGTCCTCTTCAAGAACTAAGGACAAACAGGAGCAGCAGCCCCTATTAGACTGGGAGCTCCTCGAGGGGAGGAACTGTCTCTTTAGTTAGCACTGGCACATAGTAGGTGCTTAATGAACGGTTATTGACCTGACTCATTTTCATCCTTGTATAGTAATTGCAAATTCTAGATGGATTAATTATCCCAACCTGAATGAAGCGAGCATCAATAAGCCATACTTACTGTGATTAACTGCATTTTCTGAAGCTGGAACACTTCGGGGAGGCAGAGGAGGTGAACACACGGTCGGTTCATTGGTGACATTCCTAAAAATACACATGGCTGCTGGTTATTGTTTTATTTATCACCAACAAATTTAAAGAAAAATTACTGAAAATGTACATGGTTGAAAACAGTAGTTTGCTGGTAAATGTTTAACAACCAGCTCCGCAGAATTAGCATTTTCTCTGTCACTTTCAGTCTGAACAATCAATAAAACAATAAATCAGGCTCTGACGTTCACACTTAGCCCTTGTCAGCTGGTTTGAGTTGGCCCCAGCATGGCCCGGGTTGAAAATCTAACATCTGAGTGACTTTTAAAACAACCTAAATTCTAAATATCTTTTGTAACTAATCCTTCAAACACAATTTCAATGGCCATCCGATATAGAAGGAAATGTGACGCTGAGAGAAAATGGCTGAATTTACAGTCCCAGCTCTAAATCTGTGACCTTCAGCAGCTACGAAACCTTAGGAAGGATTGATATAAAGATCTCTACCCTCAAACTTCGAGTGCGGCTTTTTGAGTGAGTCCAAGTTTTATAGAACAAATCTTTTTATTAGAGGGCCACGTGTGACCTCAAGGCTGCAGGTTCCCCACCCCTGGATAGCATGTAAAAGTATATTCTGCATACAGAATATCCTATTTTCTCATTTATTCTTATTATAGAATTGGTATATGTTTCTCTGCACAAGATATTTTATTCAAGACATGAAAATTATACTTCAGAATGTCACTGACTATATAAAGTCTCTTGATAGCGTATTAATCAGCACTTTCACAGTATGAATGTCAAAAATATATTCTTGTTATGTTTAATGCAATAGTTTGAAGATTAATAATACCAGCATGAATATGTAGCCTAAATCTGAGGTATGAGGAAAAAATGGAGATCGACATTTAAACTCTTTACCAAAATTAACTAGATAGGGAATGTCTTGTAAAATTGCTGAATCAGACATTTAAAAGCTTATTTCACAAATAAGCAAACAAGTGTGACATGATATTTCTAGTGGCTTTTTGCTCTAGCAGGAGAATAAATCCATTTAGTAAGCAGAATGACTATTTATAGTAATGAAGGGAATCGCAAAAAGGCTGAGTTCATAGCCATGGCCTAAGTAGCTAGGTGGCAAAATTGATAGAGGATTGGGCCTCGAGACCAGAAGATGTGAGTTCAAATCCAGCCTGAGACACTTAGTAACTTTATGAACCTGGGCAAGTCACTTAACCTCTGTTTGCCTCAGTTTCCTGAGCTGTAAAATGGGGATAATGATACCTACCTCATAGGGTTTTTGTAAATATCAAATGATCTAATATTGGTTAAGTGCCTGGCACATAGTAGGTGCTTAATAAATGCTTATTCCCTTTCCCCTTCAAATCCTGGCTCTGCCACTTAATACCTGTGTGACCCTGGGCAAATTATTTAACTTCTTCATTCTTTCCTCCTCTATAAAATGAAGGTTGGACTAGATGACCTCCCTATGACTAGATGACCAATTGTCTAACTATGATTCTAAACACTAAAGGCTATGGTGTTTGTCATCGGTCAGTCATTTTAGTTGTGTGTGACTCTCCATGACCCCATTTGGAGTTTTCTTGGCAAAGATACTGGAGCAGTTGGACATTTCCTTCTGCGGCTCATTTTACAGATAAGGAAACTGAGTCAAACAGGGTAAAAATGACTTGCCCAGGGTCACACAGCTAGTAAGTGTCTGAGGCCAGATTTGAACTCACAAAGATGAATCTTCCTGACTTCAGGCCCAGCGCTCTGTGCACTATGGTGCCACCTCGCTGCCCTAAAGGCTATAGTGAGAGCAGGCAAACAATTCTTAAGATGCAAAAGCAGAAGACTATATATATGACCTCTACCCATCCATCTCTACATCTATGGCAATAAACACTAATATAAAGGTTCTGGGGGGGGGAGGAGGAGGACAGGCAAATAATCCCTAACACTCAAAAGCTTAGAATTTTAGTGGCTACTTCAGAGAAAAACTTACTCATATACCATGTCTTCATCTTTCTGAGTGCGTTTGAAAGAGTTGGGAATTTTCCATTTCTTGCCTAAAGAAAGAGCATATTTGTTTATTTATCTAGAAAGAAAAGCAAAGACAATTATTTTGGAATTCATGAAATTCTTAAATCCAAAGATGGAAAAGTTGAAGACGATGGGGACGATCCCAAGTTCTAAGCTGCAAGGGCTGAGAGTTCTAAGGTGGCACCGTAGTACACAGAGCCCCGGGGCTAGAGTCAGGAAGACTTCGTGAGTTCGAATCTGATCTCAGACACTTACTAGCTGGGTGACCCTGGGCAAGTCACTTACCTTCAGCCTGCCTTGGTTTCCTCATCTGTAAAATGGGGATAATAACAGCAGGTCTACCTCATTTTGCAAACCTTAAAACTCAAGTCAAACCTTTAATACTAAATGAACCTTTAGCTCAAATTAGATCATTAGGAAGTGCTTCCTTATATATTCCGAGTTTAGATTTTTAATATGTACCCATTGCTCATAATGCTGCCTCCTGGGACCAAATTAAACAAATCTAATCCCTCTTTTATGTGTTAGCCACTGAAATAATTGAAGGAAGTTGTTATGTTCCTGCTAAGACTTCTCCTTCTCCAATCAGGTTCCTAAATTTTCTTCCCCAGTTATGGAGTCATAAAACAAGAATTTTTGTACCAGGGGTACCTGGTTTAGTTGAATGACACAAAGAACACCCTCAGTTGAGCTGGGGAGGAAGGATGAAATACGGTTTCTTTGGAGAGAGAGTCAGAGAACCTGGGACACCAGTGTGAGGCCACTTATGGGAAGGGGACGGGAAAAAGCAAGGCAGGATGGGCCGCCATCTTGCAGCTGCCCATTTTAACTATTCATTCGTGCCAATTAGATACTAAGAGCAGTTGTTTCCATGGAAGGATTGCAATTAGCATCGTTGCCCTCTAAATTCAACATCCAGATAAAATTGGTGCCCAAGGTCAAAGCCTCACTCATGCTGCCCTAGTTACCACTCTCCAGAAGTATATGCCTGCCCAGCTTTTACCTATCGTTTTTCTTTTAAGTAAGGTATACCTTAGGTTCCATCCACCAAGTCTCAGCAATGTCTCTGTAATCAAATTTGCCCCTTGTGTTAGAATCTCCAGTTTGTCTCCCTTGTTACCCATACTTCACTGATTTGAAAGTGTACAATAAATAAATAAATCATGATTTAAATTGTTTGTATTTAAATCGAAGATATAGAAATTTAGCAAGGATACAAAATTAACTTCAGATAAATCATAAGATAGACAAATCTATCTGTGGATAATCCAAACTGTATCATGTTTTCCTATATGTACCCATGAAGGCAGAAATACTTGACTTCATTCATATAATACCGAAACAGCCAGTCTTAATAAACCACCCAATTCCTTTTTTAAGTCTTTTAAGTCATCACAGATGTTTCCAGATAACACCCCTCTACCTCAGTATTTTTTATTTTTAACAAAGAACAGTTAAGCATAACCGGTTCACACATTGGCCATATATAGACAACATATGGTATTCCATACCCATAGTCCCCCACTTCTCATTTCCTCTCGATCCAAATTACACAACATTTAATTGTTCTTCCCCTGATTTACATCATCGAGGCCTTGCTTGTTTTACACCACATCAGTTCATGTGAGTTTTTCCCTGCTTCTGCCACATCTTCATATTTATCTAAACCACTTAATTCAATCAACAAACAGGCTCAAAATGAAAGAAATCAATCAGGTTAACCAGAGATGTCTTGATTTTTTACTTTTTGACTAATTGATTTGACATCTTGCAACCTTAGCTGGTGTCTCATGCTATTGAGAGAAATTAATATTATACTATTATATTAATAACCAGCTATTAATTTGTGATCCACTCTTTTCCCTCTTGTTTGTGTTAAAACCCATCTCCTGAAAAAGTCAGTCAGCCTCCGAAGGGCACGGCTGACTGAGGAGATTTGCTCAAAGCCCTCAAGGCACATGCTTGTCAGTTGGGCAGGACCCCACCCAACTAGGAGACCTAATTTCTGTTTAAAGTATATGTAGAATCTAGTCTGGGCAAGCCTTAACCAGGGGGAAGAACCCCTCCATTAGAGCTCAAGGCAACCCAGTTCATGAAGAAGAAACTAGCTAGAAAGGTCCAGATGAAGAGGGTTTCCCTGCCCAGATACTGACATGATCAAGCCACATTCTCAGCAGGAAGAGCTGAAGGCTTTTAGCCCACCTCCTCATTAAATGTCCACCAATCAGGGTTGATCTTCACTTGTCAGAGAGGTCCCTTACACAAAACATTGAAGGCATTTCAGGGTCTCCCTTGGCATCTTTGGTTGCCAAGAGAAAGCACTGACCATTAAGTTACTGATTGCTGGCTAGCCTAATTAATAAATTGATTATTAATTATCCAGAAACTCTGTCTCTCGAGGTTTTAATTTGTCTCACTATGGACTCAGAAGTATTATTAATAATAATTAATAATTAAAAGTGTTTAAAATAACCATAAAAGCCAGCCCCAAAGTGAGGACCATTGCCCTTTATGGAGCTATTACTCCTCAAACATTAAGCAAATTCTCACCCCTACCCATACCCCTCCAGTTGGACCGTTAGTTACCTTGTCTAAGCAGTCTCCTACAGATACAGTACATTACTAAGGCAAGTGTTACTGAAACAAGGATTATCGTTCCAGCCAAGAGGATCCAGAAATTCTGTAGCCACCAGTTCATTGTAATGCAACCCTGAGGAGGAAAAAAAGATGAGGTTAGAAGACCAGCAGAGGACTTGTTGGAGTAGGGGGAGTGGGAAATAATTACCTTGTGTTTTGCTCTCCATTACACTGTTAATTCTAGCCCAACTGGAGGTTGGTTTTCTTTTCTCTTTGCAGCCTGGTCCCAATCTGTATTTCTAGCCTAATTGCACACTACTGCCCCTTTTGCATTCTGTGATCAACCAACCTGGACTTCTCTCTGTTCCTCTCACAAGACACTCAAATTCCCACCTCCACACGTTTGCATTGGCTGTCCCCCCTGCCTAGAATGCCTGCCCATCTCTCTTCCACCTCACAGAATTCTACTCTTCCTTTGAAGATGCAGCTCCGATTCAACCTTCAACATGGAGCCTTTCCTCATCCCCCAACTGCTAGGGCCCTTCCTCCCTAACTACATTGGGTTTATTTGCATTTATCCTCTTTATTTTTTTTTTCCGTATAGGAGTGGGGTTGATTTAGTCAGTCATGTTAACCGTATCCCATTTTAAGTCAGTGATACTATTGATCAATCTCAATAGTATTTGGAACTGGGAATCTTTGCAAAGAATCATATTCAGAGAAGCTGAGGAAACTGTCATGGTCCAGAGTTCATTTGACTTAATGTTTCTTTTAAAACATGGTGGGGAAAAGGTTTTCATGGTGAAAACTAGGTAAAAATGAACAATGGTTTAAATGTTGTCCCATCCAAAGAGATTTATATTTTATAGGAGTCAAAGTTTCACATGGTTGAATTGCAAGCCTTCCTTAGCTGCTAAGAGAAAGGTTCAAGAGGCAGTGAGTTGGGGGCAGCTAGGTGTCACAGTAGATAGAGCACTAGCCCTGGAGTCAGGAGGACCTGAGTTCAAATCCATCCTCAGACACTGGATGTTAGCTGTGTGAGCCTGGGTAAGTCACTTAACCCTGATTGCTTCACAGAGGGGGGGGGCAGTGAGTCTTTCTCCTGTGCCTCCTAAAATCATACCACAGGTGATCACCGACTTTACCATGACTAAATTCAGACATGATTCTGTTACAGTTGAGAAAGGTATAGCTATTTCTAAATCAGGTTATTCTTGGGTAAACACCCACAACCAGCACATCCTGTCTGAATAAACAGCCTTTGAACATTACTAACCACTGATCCTTTTTAAAAAGCGGACTTTTGTTGATTTTCTATTTTATATCACCTACATTTCCCTCTGTATCCCTCCTCCTTCCCTGTCCTAGAGAGCCATCCTTTATAACAAAGCATTTCAAAAGGAAAAAAATGAAGAGAAAAAAGTTAATCAAAACAGATGAATACAAAGACATTATATTCCGTCTTCCATGCCCACGGACCACTCCCTCTGCAAAAGAGCAGAGAGCGGTATCTTTTCATCTCTCTCATCTGGGGCCATGTTTGTCCTGGATGATATCGCAACATTCTGGTCTGTTTCTTTTTTGACTGTTGTTCTACCCATTTACATTGCTTTAGTGGTTAAGTGTAATGTTTTCCTGGTTCTGTTCATTTCACTTTGCATCAGTTCTAGGACTGGAGTCAGGAAGACTCATCTTCATGAGTTCAAATCCAGCCTTAGACACTTAATAGCTGTGTGACCCTGGGCAAGTCACTTAACCATTGTCTGCCTCAGCTACCTCAACTGTAAAGTGGGGATAATAAAAGCAGCTACCTCCCAAGATTGTTTCCAGGACCAAATGAGATAATAATAGTAAAGCACTTATGATAATGAAGACTCTTAGAGGGAGTGCAGATGCCACACCTTGCTGAAATAGGACATGGACCCTGGAAAGAACACTGACTCCTCCCTCTGATGCTTACCTGTGTGACCTTCAACACATCTCTGTCTCGTGGGGTGGACAGTTGGTCCCTTCTGATTCTAGGGGGCACCATAGTGCACAGAGCACTGGGCCTGGAGTGAGGAAGACTCATCTTGAGTTCCAATCTGGCCTCAGACAGCTTGTGACCCTGGGCGAGTCACCTAACCCTATTTCCCTCAGTTTCCTCATCTGTAAAACAAGCTGGAGAAGGAAATAGCCAACTGCTCCAGTATCTCTGCCAAGAAAACCCCAAATGGGTCACGAAGAGTCGGATGTGACTGAACAACGAGAAGTCACCACCCCTCCCCAGACCTCAGTTTCTTTCTCTGTAAAAAGAGGGAGTTGGGCTAGACAGTCTCTAAGGCCCCTTCCAGCTCTAATCTCTGCAACTCCAGAATCTTCACGTTGTCATTGGTGTCCGTTTGTAAAACTCACTTTTGGCCTTGGAAAGGAAAACAAAAACAGTCCTGCCTCTGATGCCCATTGGCATTTTGTGTGTTTGACGCACCACAAAAACACTGGGGCCAGTTTTAGTTTCCAAAATTTCTGCTCCGAAGATTTCAGGATCAGGATGATAGACTTAGAATTGGAGGGAATCTCAGGGGTCTTCCAGTCCTATTCCCTCATTTTACAGAAGAGAAAACTGAGGTCCAGGGAAAGGCCCAACAGGTATGAAGGGGCAAAGGCAGGATTTGAACCCAGTGACTCCACTCCAGAGTCTGGGCTCTTTCCATGTTTTGTGGTTGTTCAACTGTTTTTCAGGCATGTTCAACTCTTCATGGCTCCATTTGGGGTTTTCTTGGCAGAGATACTGGAGTGACTTGCCCAGGGTCACACAGCTAGTAAGTATACAGATTTGAACTCAGGAAGATGAGTCTTCCTGACTCCAGTCCCAGCACTCTGTACTATGGCATCCCCTAGCTGCCCATAACAACCCATGCATAACTCACATTGCCATGCCATTATCATGAATTCAAGACCTGGGCAATGCCAGGGAGGCATCCTAGAGTCCATGGCAGGTCGGGTCACACCATTTTTCCATCTTTTTCTACAACTAAGGTTTCCCTTCCATAACTCATCATCGGTGGAATCTTTTGCAGCTGAGTTAGCAGGGCCAGACAACAAGAGAAGAGCAAGAGCCAGCACTTTGGGGCAAGAACTTTCTTCTGAGTCTCCCAAAACAGAAACCACTTATTTCTCCCCACTCCACAGCACCCACTTTCACTTCTCTAAAAAGGTTTTTCTGAAAAGTTGGGCTAGAGAATCCATCTGCCATGATTGAAAATTTCCATGACACAGCAAGCTTACAGTGGGGGGGGGGAGAGGGAGAGGAAGCATTGGAGATCCCCACACTTCTCAAAATGTGAGGACCAAGTAAGTGCAGGTGTGAGATCACAGTCGCAGAATTACGGAGCTAAAAGGAACCTTGGAGATGTTAGAGGCTGTTGGCCCAGTGGAAAGTGCACTGCCTCAGGAGTCAGGGTGGTGCCTCTGATTCTTACTGGCTAAGTGACCTTAGGTAAGTCCTTCTCCACCTGGGAAACTCAGTTTCCTCAATCTGTAAAAAGAAGGGTTTGGACAAGAATCTATCCAGCTCAACACTTTGCGACCTGGCTTTGAACCCTGTCTTTTCTCCTTGCTAATTGTGTGACGGTGGGAAGTCACTTAACCTTTCTGAGCCTTGGTCTCCTCATCTGTAAACCAAGGGATTTAAGTGATGTGGCCTTTGAAGCCCTTTCCAGCTCCAAATCTGTGACCTGAGTTCAAATCCTGCTTTTGTCACTACTTGTGTGACCTCAGTCATGTCACTTTTGTTTTTTCATATGTAAAATGAAGGATCCAGAGTAGACGGACTCTGAGGCCTCTTCTAACTCTGGAAACGTCCCTTTCTATAAAGCCTTCCTCACTCATTCACTCATCAGTTTGAGATAATCTCATGGAACATTCAGTTCCATGCCAGAAGACCTTTCTGAGAAATCGCCTGAACTCTCTGAAGCACAGTGCCCTCCTGCAGAATGGGACAGTGACCCCTTTCTCTGGCTCCTTCCCTCTTATTTCGAGGACGACATCAAATGAGGATCAGGTCATGGCAGATAGACATGGATGCGGAAAGGGGGTTGCTGGCGGGATGAAGCAGCTTCCAGGAGTGGCGTCCCTGGCAGCGGAGAAGTCAGGTGCTGAAGGGATCAGCTCCCGGAAGCCCAGCGGAGCCTCTCACCAGGAAAAGAAGCTGGACCCAAAAGGAACAGCAACTGCATGGGGACTGTCCAGCCGGAGAGAGAACTTCCAGGACCTGGGAATTGTCTCTGGTCCATCTGCACCCTGCCTGAAGGCATCACAACCGCTGTGCACGGGGCTCGTTTTTCCCGTGGATACTGTGGGGCAGCGCGCCCTCGGTTAGTGGGGCACGAGGCATGTTTGGAAGCTATCGTTCTTTACCATGCCATCGAAATAAATCACTTTGCTAAGAGGTAACTATGATGCATTCTCCTCCCATCAGCTGTTCTGGTCTCAGCTCCACAAACACCACGCCTTCCTTGGCGTTCCTCGCCTCCCAAACTCTCTGGTGACCCTTCCCAGCCTCCTTTTGTGAACTGTCTTCCCCTAACAGATCGTACAATCCTTGAAGGGGGGAGCTGTCTTCATTTTCTGCATTTGTAGCCTCAGCACTTACCACAGTGCCTGGCACATAGGAGGTGCTTAATAAATGTTTATTGACTACTAGTTCAATGTTAATGCAAGAGTGTCAGGAGTCAACATTGAGGGCCCTCTCGTAGAATTTGTAAGAGTCATAGCTGCCTTTTACCGATACAACTGATAAAATCAAGTGAGTTAGAAGAGTAAGTGAGAAGTGATGTTAGGATAAGCTAGGCCGGAGCAGCTAAGTGCCCTAGTAGGTAGACAGCAGGGCCTGGAATTAGGAAGATCCGAGTTCAAATCCAGCTATAGATACGTAATAGCTGTGTGACACGGGGCAAGTCACTTAACCTCTGTTTGCCTCAGTTTCCTCAACTGTGAAATGGGGATAATAATAACACCTCCTTCTCAGGGTCATTGTAAGGATCAAATGAGATATTTGCACAGTGCCTGGCATATAGAAAATACTAGTTGTTGCTATTATTGTTATTACTATTATTATTATTATTATTATTATTATTATTATACTGTGGTTACCTTGTCTGGGAATAGGTTTGCATTCTCTATGCAATTGCAGTGATTCATTGCAGAAATTTTTCTTTTAGTGTTTTCCTCCTTAGGTGGCACAGGGCATAGATCACCAGGCCTGGAGTCAGGAAGACTCATCTTCCGGAGTTCAAATCCAGCCTCAGACACTTACTACTGTGTGACCCTAGGCAAATCATGTAACCCTGTTTGCTTCAATTTCCTCTTCCGTAAAATGAGCAAACCGCTCCAGTATCCCCCAAAGGGAGTCACCAAGAGTCAGAAATGACTGGAAAATGGCTGAACAGCAGCCAGCACTTTGCTTCTTGGAAGCTTATTTCCAAGGAATTAGAATAGAGGAATTAACATTTCTTTTTTCTTTTTCAGAGTGCCACAAGGCAGTCCTTTTTTCTGGTGTCTTTCCTTCACTAGTCTGACAAGATTCTTTGAGATAACTTTTGCATGGTTGAATGCATGGCTGCTGATATCTAATGCATTATTGTACCCATTATGAGTATGGAAGTTGACATTAAACAATTAAACAAATATTGCTTCCCTGGAATATTCATGCCATGTTCTTTGCTTTTTAAAACTTTTTAAAAATTTTAAGCAAATCTAGCCTGTTTGCCTTAACAGGAAATGAGTTCAAACAGCTTTCCCAAGATTTTTTTCAATTTTTTTTTTCAATTAACAAAAATCTTTGTTTTTCTCTACAACTTTCTTCCCATTGGGGAAAAAAAAAGCAGAAGAAAATTCTTATAGGAAGTATACCTAGTCAAGCAGAACATCTTGCAATGGCCATGTATACAAAATGTCTTAATCCGTACCCTGCATGTACTGTCTGCTTCAAACAGGTGAAGAATGTATTTGGTAAGCCTAGAAGGTTACCAGCATGTGCTTCATCCCTGGTGCTCTACAATCATGGCTGGTCATTGCATTGGATCAAGGTTACAAAGTCTTTCAAACCAATTTTCCTCTATAACACTGTTGTCATTGACAAACTGCTTCCCTAGTTGCGTCCCGCACCAGCTCGTAGAGGTTCTCTGGGTTTTCTCAGAAACCACCTATTTCATCGTGGAACACGTCTGTTTCTTATGGCACAATAATATTACACTAAATTGATATGATTTTTTTTTTTTGGCATTTAGGGTTAAGTGACCTGCCCAGGGTCACACAGCTAATACGTGTTATGTGTCTGAGGTCGGATTTGAACTCAGGTCCTCCTGACTCCAGGGTGGGTGTTCTATCCACCATGCCACCTAGCTGCCCCCCCTAAATTGCTATTCTTAAAGCTTTGGTCTATCTGCACCGCTCCCCCAAACAATGCCCTACTGCCTCTAATATAAATTCAAATTTCGCTGTTGAAATTTTAATCCCTCCCCATTTCTTTCCCTCACATACTCTAGGGTCCAACCAGCTGGACCACCTGTTATTCCCGGTCCACGACATTCTATCTGTCCCTTGTGCCTAGACCATGCTCCTTCCTTACACCCATCTCTTGGAATCCCCAATTCCCTTCAAGGCTCAGGTCCCATGATACTTCCTTCATGAAAGTCTTCCTGGTTTCCCCAATGACTATTGCTCACTCTTCTCCCCCTAATTATTTTGTTTTGTAGGTATTTTTAGTTTCCTTCTCTGTGCACACATTATCTCCATTCCTTGAGGGCAGGAACTGTCTCATTGTTGTTCTCGTATCTCCAGCACCTGGCACAATACCTGGCATACAGTAGGCACTTAATAAATGCTTATTGTATTGATTGTAAATTTTATTGGGTTATAATAAACCCTATTATTCACGTGAAGGGCAACTGGGTGGTACAGTGGATAGAGCACTGGACTTGGAATCAGAAAGACTCATCTTCTTGAGTTCAAATCTGGCCTCAGACATTTCCTAGCTGTGTGACCCTGGACAAGTCACTTAACCCTGTTTGCCTCAGTTCCTCATCTGTAAAATAAGCTGGAGAAGGAAATAGCAAATTGCTCCAGTATCTCTGCCAAGAAAACCCCAGAATGGGGTCACAAAGAGTCAGATATGACTGAAGCAACTGAACAACAATAATAATTATTCATGTGAGGGTCAAATAATACAACAGATAGAGAGCCTTTGTACGTCTTAATGTCCTATTAAATGTGACTAGTTATGTGCTAGGTTAGCCAAACAAGGCAGATTTGTGTGCACACTTTCCAGATTCCCGGCCTTCATTTCTCACACCTCTGGGAATAGGTCTGAGACATGAAGCAGAGTGATTGAAAGTCTCAGTCTGAATGATAATCATAATTAATACAAATCGATACTGTTGCTCATGCAGTGGGATTGTCTGCTCACAACTTTTACAATTAGAAATAATATTGTATAAAAGGGATATCTATATTAGAAGATGAATTTCTAAAATATTCAGAAATGATGGCTATGTTGTATCTTTCATTTTAAAATTTCTCATGGATAGAGATTCCTTCCACAGGTACTCTTGGAAGTGTGTTTTGGTGTTTAAAAACGTACACCATCAACAAAGTCCTCCTTGGATCTAACGTGATTCTCTCTTGTTGGGCCTAACTCCTTTCCCCCTGCTCCCCCCCAATTCACTCTTGTAGGGAAAACTAGGCATATCCCGAAGAGAATTATTAATACATAATAATGACTCATATTTGTTAATGTTGTTCAGTTGTGTCCAACTCTTCATGACTCCATTTGGGGTTTTCTTGGCAAAGATGCTAGAGTGGTTTGCTATTTCCTCCTCCATATCATTTTACAGATGGAGAAACTGAGGCAAACAGGATGAAGTGTCTTGCCCAGGGTGACACAGCTAGTAACAGTCTGAGGCTGGATTTAAACTCATGTCTTCCTGACTCCAGGACTGGTGCTCTATCCCCACATCCTAAAGAGAGCTATTAGTACCTAATAATAACTCACATGCTTAATATGTACGTTAATGTACTTAATAAGTACATTCTTCACAACACCTGTTTGAGGCAGGCAGTACAAACATTGGTATTATTATCCCAGTTTAACGGATGGGAATACCGAGGCTTAGAGATAAGTAACTTCTCTGGTAAATTCATGCTGGGTAATCTATTCTAACTGTACTCTTCTCCCTGATAAATGCCCCCGACTCCTCTGACCCTTTCTCATTAATCTTCCAAATGCCTTTCCTTCTGATGATAAAAACTGTCTGGTGCTGAGGCAAGAAAGTACATCTTTCAGGGAGCTGCAGACCTAAAACTTTTCTGGGAATAGGAGGTAAGTCTGAAAAACTTAATTCTAAGAATTTAAAAATACCCATCTCAGTTCTCTATCAGTGAATCAAAAGGGCCTGTAAGCATTCCCACTATTCTGCTCTAAAGTCTTCTAACAAAGGGAAATGTAGTCAGCCCCCCTTAAACACTGCTGGAGGATGGGCTTGGAAGCCCTTGGGCAGACGGTTGGAACTAAGACTTTCCTCCTCTGCCCCTTTTAGATTTCAGGCCTAATCCCACTGATATGAGCAGTGTATGCCCTAGATTTAGGCCAGGCTACTTGGGCAAAATCTGTCTATCAGGGTAAAAAAATTGACAAATTTATACATCAGGGTCCTATTTTCACTTTGTCAAAATTAATCATGTGTTTAAATGAAGATATTTTACTGGATTGAAATCATTAGCGAGCATGGAGCAAATGAAAATGTGTTTGAATTTTCACAAGTAGGTTTGAATTTCACATGTTTTGCATTTTCAAGCAAGGCTGTAGACATAATCAATGTTTTTCCATACTGTTACCTATAATTGAGGCATAGATAGTCTTACACTAGCCCTTCAGGACAGAAGTGGCCTTGAGCAAGTCCCGTCTTCTCCCTGAGGGTCTCAGTTTTCCCCTTGAAAGAATGGGGTAGTTAGGCAAGATATACAAAGTCTCTTCCAGCCTTCTCAGTCTACGACCAGAACTAAAGACAAACAGGACCCCATTCACGTATTTTCTTTTCTGTTGTTCTGTGATCCTTTCACTGGGGCAGCTAGGTGGTGCAATGGACAGAGCTTGGAGTCAGGATGCTTCATCTTCTTGAATTCAAATCCAGCCTTAGAAACTTCCCAGCTGTGTGACCCTGGGCAAGTCACCTGACCCTGTTTGCCTCTGTTTCCTCATCTGTCAAGTGAGCTGGAGAAGGAAATGGCAAACCCCTCCAGTATCCCGGCCAAGAAAACCCCAAATGGGGTCACGAAGAGTTGGGCATGACTGAACAGTAACTACCTTAGCTAGTATTCCATCCTTAGTAGAGTGTCTGTCTAAAAGAGAAAGTTGAAAGGCTTACCTCTCCTTGCAGGTGCTCTCTCAGATGACTTTTCTTATTTGATTAAGCAGTGAGCCTGAACCAGCAGACCGAGGGAACAGTTAATCACTGGGTCCCCTTGGCTGCAAACTTGGAGACTTCTGAAACAAACCCTGATGCTACTTCCTTTTCTGACCAACTTTTTGAAGGAGGTGCAATCACCAAGTGGCTGGAAATCTGACTAAAGAGAAACGAGGAAGAGTTCCCCTTTCTAGTGGGTCAAAACTGGCTCCGATGCACTTAACAACATATTCACTTTGATTGTAGTTACTGGCTTACATGACTCACTGCTCACCACCTGCATCCGCTCCTAAAATATTGTAAACTTCCCCAGGAAGGTCATATTGAAAAGCTATGTTATTTCTCATCTGTGTATCCCTCACACATTGGCGTGGTACCTTGCATATAGGATACATCTTCACGGAGTTGAACTGAATGTGTCCTTGAATTTAGAATCCCCTCGCTACCCCAAAGGTCTTTCTGAAAACAGCCCTTCTCTGTTCTCTCCTTGAACGAAATATCACTTACTCTGTGTAGTTTGTACATAATTAGATAACACGAATACATCTTGTTTCCCTTGATAGAATCTAAGTTCCCTGAGGATAGGGTCTGTGTAATGTTGCCTCTCTATCTCCATTGCTTGGCACATAGCAGGACTTTAATAATAAATGCTTATTAACTGAGAACATTGAATCCTCAATCCAAAGCTATCTCTCCCTCTCTCTCTCTCTCTCTTTCTTTTTCTCTTTCTCTCTCTCTTTCTCTCTCGCTCTCCCTCTTTCTTTCTCTCTTTCTCCCTCTCTCTCTTTTTCTCTTTCTCTCTCTCTTTCTCTTTCTCCTTCTCTCTTTCTCTCTCTCTCCCTCTCTCTCTTTCTCTCTCTCTTCCTCTCTCTCTCTTTCTCTCTCTCTCCCTCTCTCTTTCTCTTTAGCTCTCTTTCTTTCTCTCTCTCTTTCTCTCTCTCTTTCTCTTTTTCTCTTTCTCTCCTCTCTCTCTTTCTCTCTCTTTTTCTCCCTCTCTCTTCCTCTCTCTCTCTCTCTCCCTCTCTCTCCCTCTCTCTCTCTCTCTCTCTCTCTCTCTCTCTCTCTCTCTCTCTCTCTCTCTCTCTCTCTCTCTCTCTCCCAACAAATGAGGAAGGTCATGTAAGTAACAAGTACCACATAATTATGCACTTTCAACAGAGAAAGGGACCCCTGAAAATCCTTGGACTTCCACAGAGGTTAAGACTTCCCAGCACTTGAAAAACCAGGTAGCAGAAAACATGTTGAACTTTTAGAGTGAGGGAGTACCTGAGTACAACTCCCACCTCTACTATTTACCACTTGTGTGGCTTTCAAAGCTTACTATTGCACCAAGACTTTTGGAACACCCGGGTACCAGGGGATCACCTACCGAGATTCGAAAGGAACATCTGAGCGCAGCTCTCCTTGTTTTGCAGTTGAGAACACTGAGGCATCTGGAGGTTAAACGACCTGCATCTCTGAGAGTCACACATTTCATTTCGTTTTCCTTTAGCAAATACACTTGTTGGCCAGAACGAAGCCTTCACCTAGTGCTGGCCTATCTGCTGTGAGCTTAGAGGCCAGATCAGTAAGGAAGGAGCATCAGAGAAAGCCTGAGCTCTCAGAGAGCAGGACATCCAGCGTAGAACCAAATACATTGGGCTCTGGGTAAAGAAAAGCTCAGAAGCGCTTTCCTTGACCAGCACTGAACCCTGTCACCCACTTTGTCAAAGTGCCCCGAGTAACCTCAGTGGGCCCTTTAACCTTCTGTCCCTGACTTTCTATCTGGAAGCCTGTATGGACTAAGAAGGTAGGGAGTGCCAGGGATTCTAACACATAGAATCCCACTAAAACGTGTTCCCCCCTGGTTTGAGTGTAGCAGGTACCCACCAATCTGTGGATATGCAGATGTTGAGAACAGACTTCCCTCATGCATGCCAACCCCTTGGATCCCACTACCTGGGATGGATGTTGGCAGAAGGTGATGGCCTGGGTCATCTAGAAATGGGGGCCGCCACGTTATCCATAAGAATCCCTGCAGAATATATATCAACTTGGGGGCAGGTAGGTGGTGCAGTGGATAGAGCTCTGGTCTTGGAGTCAGGGCAGTTGAAATCTGGTCTCAGACACCGGACACTTACTAGCTATGTGACCCTGGGCAACTCACTTAACCCCAATTGCCTCACCAAAAAATAGATAGATAGATAGATAGATAGATAGATAGATAGATAGATAGATAGATAGATAGATAGATAGATAGAGATAGATAGATATCGACTTGGAAAACTACATATTAACATGATGTTCTATTGCATCCTTATTTCTTTTATTAAATATTTCCCAATTGCCTTTTAATCTGCCGGTAGCTCTGGGTCTCACATCGCTGGTATGGGTTATGACAATTTGCTTGCTACAGTTTGCACTAGAAACTAGATTCAAAGACCCCACTTCCATAGCTTACCACCTGTGACTCTGGTCAAGTCACTAAACCTCCCTGGGCCTTAGTTTTCTCATCTGTAAAAAACGAGGGGAATAGACTAGATGGTCTCTGAGATCCCTTTCAACTCTAAGCCTACAATCCTCTGTGTGGATGGTGTCTAAAATGTGAAATGTTTTATCTTGGCAGCCATAATTAAGGGGACAGAGTCAGAGCTTGTGATTTCACTGGCATAGGGAAACTCCCAAGTTAGGAAAATTCCTCTGTCAATGCAGGTTGGCACCTTCTAGTCTTAGAAGGATGCCCAGAACACTCTGAGGTCAAGGGCCTTGCTCAGGCTCACACAGCCAGTAAGTGTCAAAAGTGGAACTTGAATCCAGATCTCTGGGGCTTTGAGGAAAGCTTGCTCACTGCTACCCCAAGCTGTCTCTCATAATTAGCGTTCATGGAATTTTCCTTATGGCTTTGGGAGCTTTGCCTTCTGAGCATCTGCTGCTTTTGATGGAAGACTCCAGGTCTGGTCATCACTGTCTCCTGGGCACCTGGGCCTTCCGCCCTCCAGACCAAGGCAGTTTGGGGAAAGATCTGAACTAGATGAGAGTCACATAAGGTTTGGTTTCATATTATTTGCACACACATGGTAACTCAGGAATTGTTCAGGGCTTTTATCTTGAGCTCATATAGCAAGTGAGTCCAAAAGGTCACCTGGGAATTAGGTGACCAAGGGGAGAAATTGAGTCTGGAAGAGCCTAGGCAGAACCTTCATTTCTTTCTTTCTTTCTTTCTTTCTTTCTTTCTTTCTTTCTTTCTTTCTTTCTTTCTTCTTTCTTTCTTTTTTTGAAACCCATTCTTTATTTCTTGAAAACAAATTTACAATATCTTTTGCTTTTGCACCACCTTCATTTCCAGATATACCCACCCCCCACCCACCCACCCCAGGCATCCCCTATAACAATAAATGTGAACAGGGTATGGTGGCACATCCCTATAATGCCCTGTAGAGGCTGCTAGGTGGCTCAGTGGATAGAGCACAGGGCTTGGAGTCAGGAAGACCTGAGTTCAAATGTGATTTCAGACACTTCCTAGCTGTGTGACCCTGGGCAAGTCATTCAACTTTTATTGGCCTTCATTTCCTCAACTGTAAATTAGGGTTTTTGTGAGGATCAAATGAGATAATATTTGCAAAGTGGTTGGGACATAGTAGGTGTTTAATAAATGTGTGTTCCCCCTCCCTTGTTTGCTGCCAGAGTGGCTCAGGCTGGTGGATCTCCTGAGCTTGAGAGTAAGGCTAAAACTAGTGGGGTGTCTGCATCAAGTAAAATGCACAGGACAAGGAGACCAAATATACTGAAATGAAGATGTAATTGTTTTCCGACCAAATCCATGCACCCCAGGTTAGTAACACCTGATGGGGGTGGGAGGATGGTTCCTACAGCTCTCTCCCACAGAGCTCATGTCTCTGTCCCTTGTTACCTGACCAGGTAATTCCCTCCTTTTGAGGTTTATCCCCTCCTTGCACAGAGAAACCTAATCCTCCCCAGCTACGTGACCTGACTGTATTTGAAGATATGATGATCATCTCCTATCTGGCTGTACTTTTTATTTTGTGATGCAAGGGTTAAGCTTCCCTTCCTCCCTCCCTCCCTCCTTCCCTCGGGGAATGACTTCTGATTTGCCTGGTGACTCACAAATAGGTCGGTATCCTGCAGAAGAAAACGGCTTGGTTTGGAGTCAGAGGACCCGGCCTCTTCTAAGCACCTGTGGACAAATCACTTCCCCTTTCTGGGCCTCAGTTTCCTCATCTGTAAAATTGGGGGTGGGGTGTTGATTGGATGGTTTCTAAGGTCCTTGCTGGCTCTAAATCGCTGATCTTCAGTCACCCCAAAGGTCCCTTTAACTTGATCTCCTTTGAGTGTGGCTGGAGAGATTTAAGCTGTCATCACAAGTCAGTAGCTCTTACAACACATGAAGAGCTAGGATACATCTTGGGGGATTCATTGGTTTCTCACTTTTCTGGTTCGTTGCCCCCGTCCAGATAATCTGGGAACTTCCTGTGTGATGCTACGTGAGGGTGTTGTCCAAAACGCCCCTTGCAAGCACACATTTCACAAGGTTCAGAGATAGGCAACGAAGGTTTATTTATAGGTCAAAGGACATAAATAAGACTCATTTCAGAGCCTCTTTTTTGAAAAAAAAAAGCCATATCTGCCAGTGAATAACCTTTCCCAGAGTCCTTTGCAGTCTCAGACACTTAAGTATCCCCTTGGGTAGGGCTCCAGCAGAAGGTGCCAGGGGGTGTGCCCGCACATCAATAAAACCTCACTTTCACCCTCATCCAATATTTTATTGATGGCAATAGGAAAGGCTGATTTGAGCTTCATCTTCTTTCTCTGTCCTGATCACATGGTCCCTCTCCCAGCCCATTTGGTGCTAAAAGAGAACTGGGGCCCCAAAGGTTACTGGCTTGGGAGAAGACCTGGATAATACATATACTGGATATTAACTAGTCTCTGAAATCATAATTGAGAGATGATTGTACCAAGACTCTCAAGCAGGATAGTTATTGGGTAGGTGAGAATGATAGTTACTATTTTCATCATTTTAAAGAAAAATGAAGGTAGGTTGGTCCTTCTCAGACATGCCAGTAGTCAATATGACTTCAAGGAATACAAACTCTGGAAGGTTTCAATTAAAAAATAAGATCATCAAAGGCAGAGCATTGGGGAAT